CACAATTTCTTTGTAATGAAATACTAGAAAAATAATCCTAAGGGATCACTAATCTGAACCGACAGATGTTGACTATCACCACCTGTGTGTTATGTGGAAAGCTAAACACTTACTGCTAACAATCACATTTTATTTATTTATGTTTTTAAGAGAGAGAGAGCGAGAGAGAGAGAGAAAAAAAACATTATCTCTGTTGCTTGCTGTGCCCGGATTGCCACATGCTAGGTGATTTAAATGTCTCAGGCTGTGGGGTAATGGGGGGCATGGAGAGGTGTTTCCTGAAAATCAGTCAAAACAGCTATCTACACTGTCTGACTGCTCGCTGATGTTTTATAGCAGGTGGGAGGAGAGACCTGATCTTTGGGAGTTCATGTTAATTTATGTGAAGCCCTTCAAGAGAAGAAGGGTCGTAATTTACCTGTGTACCTGAATATTGTGCTTCCCACGTCAGGTTTACAGTGGCATGGCAATCAGCATGATTTTAATAGATTCGTTCCTTTTGTCTTGGATTTTATAGTGTGTTTGTCATTTAAAATTGAGGGAGGTTTTGAAATCATTTGTGGGAAGATGACACTTTTGGGAACAGATTATGCACATGCATAATATATGCATTTCTAAAGGAAATATAAATGGTGAAAGGCAGGTGATAGTAATTTGCAATATAGATAGAATACAGATATTTGTATTAAAATACTATATATATATATATATATATATATATATGTGTGTGTGTGTGTGTGTATATAATCTCTCTCTCTCTCAGTTTGATTTGAAAATTTGTGTTGTGTCACAGATTCAGAGATGGGATACGATGAATACGTATGGGATACGAGCATGCACAAGTGCCACAGAACAATGTTTAAGAGTTAAGCACCGACCTCATGCTTTTAATTCATTCTATAATGTTTTTTCACTGTACAAGTGCTTATCACTTAATTAGTTTAGATGAAATATAGAATATGAATGCATTTAGAAATGAAGGCTGTTTAAAAACAACTTTTTAAGCTGACTGGAAAAATGCATTTTGTAACAATACTTAAACTATGATATATAAAAAGGTATGTTTAGGAGTGCAAAATTCTGACTGTTGGAGCCATGGACATTCTGACACCGAGTCGTGATGCTCATACTCATTCAAGTGATCTCTCTACAAACATCATTTAGTGTTTGTGTAAAATGAGTGCACAGTCACAGTGGACTGTGATTTTGCTTTATATGAATTTCCTATTCTTGCAGAAATGTGGGTTTTGTGGGGGTTTTATGAAAAGATAAATACAAATGTTTGCTAAGTCTCTCATGTTATTCTTTGTGGACATAAGAGGACATTTTGAAAGCAGCCCACATCTGACTCACGCACGCTATCTTCATGGACGGTGAAGCAGTTTTAACACTCCAGCGAGCAATATTTTTCATGCTTGTTTTGTAAATGCGTCTCTCTAACACACACACACACATCCTGACTGCCTAACAGAAAGGTTTTAAAAACCCCACTGGGTAAAATTTTTAATGGAAAAATATCTATCTATCTATCTATCTATCTAATGTATACGAGATATATACTTTTTGTTTGTTTTCTGTGAAATAATCTCATCTGAAGGTCATGATAAGATCATTTAAAATGGAATTGGTGGTGAATTGTTGCTAAAGGCTAAAGGAATGAATTTGTTTTTAAGCTCTTATGGGGGAAAAGCCCATAAAAGCCGAAGTCATAATGGAATCATCAGTGAGGCTTAGACATTTATTATTATTATTTCTCAGATCTGATGCCTTTCTAGCTGTCACTGTAAAGCTGCTGCCAATGCATTTGTTTTTGTATGTGTTCTCTTGTCCGAGTCGATTTGTGTGATGTAATTACTTTAATTGCTTCCCTGGAGTGATTGGTGGCGATCGAGTTCTTCATCATGGCATGCTGGTGTCTTCATTCAAGGCTTTGTGATTATTTGTGGCAGTGCTTGGGGTCTGAATCTAGAAAACAGACGTGTTTGATAAGCTATATATAGGGCCATCAGAACAAATGCTCACGTCTGCTTGATTCCAGTTACACAGTATACATATCTCATCATTCTCTCAGTTGTTCAAGTGTACTTAAAGGTGTTTAAAGTGAATATAGACCTCCAATACCATTTGAACAACTGAAAATAAACATGCTCCATACACGGTTGTGAAATATGTCATGCTGCCTGTCAGATGACCTCACGCATACTGTAGGTTTACGTGCTCTCTTTTTAAATGGCTGTCATAGATGGATTCAAGTGTGATTTATATTTCTTTCTAAGGCGTTAGTCACCATGATATTTACAGATCTGGATCACCCACTGAGTTCTTTTAATCGCTTTCCATTAAATTATGTTCTTGAAAGTGGTTGATGTGGTCTCACTGAAAATGCACTGCTAAATGGTGATGCACAAAATGGTGGTACATCAGGGATTCTACAAAAACTATTAAGCCAAATTTTGGGTAAGGGTTTTCATTTACTTATTTTTTATTTAAAAAATGACTGTTTTTGTTTGACAATGATGCATTAAATTGATTAAAGGGGTCATATGATGTTTCTAAAAAGAACATTATTTTGTGTATTTGGTGTAATGAAATGTGTTTATGCGGTTTAAGGTTAAAAAAACACATTATTTTCCACAATGTACATTATTGTTTCTCCTCTATGCCCTGCCTTTCTGAAACGCGTCGATTTTTACAAAGCTCATCGGTCTGAAAAGCAAGGTGTGCTGTGATTGGCCAGCTATCCAGTGCATTGTGATTGGCCGAATACCTCAAGCATGTGACGGAAATGTTACGCCCCTATCATTCTAATATGCTGATTTATTATTAGAATTATCAACAGTTGTGCAGCCAAATATTTTTAAGTTACGCCTTCTTTCTTTGCGTGAACGTTTGGGCGGCGTTATGCAAATCTTTCCACATCGTGACGTAGACATGTGGGGTGTGTTAGAACGAGCCGTTTTAGGTAGGCGTGGTTGACTCTTAACTTTTATAAAGAATATCTCTTTGGATTTGAGACTTTAGTCTTTGCAACTTTACAGATCTTCTTTATGCACCAAGAGCTTGTAACACTCCAAAGAGAAAGGAAAAATTGAAATCGCATCATATGACCCCTTTAAAAGTGACATTACAGACATTTATAATGTTAAAAAAATATTTTACATAAACACTTTTCTTTTGCATCAAAAAAATCCTATTTTTTTTTTCATATTTAAAAAATATTAAACAGTAAAGACTGTTTTCAACATTGATAATAATAAAAACCATTAAAAATTGAGCACCAATAGTAATTGATAATAATTTGTCACAAAATCAGTTTTGCCATCACAGAAATTAATTATTATATTATACTCACACATACAGCAGTGAGTACTGAACACAACTTACACACAAACTGTGAACACACACCCAGAGCAGTGGGCAGCCATTTGTTCCAGCACCAGCTGGAGCAGTTTGGGGTTCAATGTCTTGCTCAAGGGCACCTCAGTGGTATTGAGGGTGGAAGAGAGCACTGTACATTCACTCCCCACACCTACAATCCCTGCTGGTACCGAGATTCGAACCCGTGACCTTCAGATTACAAGTATGACTCTCTAACCATTAGGCCACAACTGCCCCTCATCTATGATATCAGAAACATTCAACATTTTATGGTTTCACTTTATTTTGATGGTTCCTTTAACACATTCTGTTGACTATAGGTAATGTAGCGACTACATGTCTAACTCTCATTAGAGTGTTAGTAGAGAATTAGTAGACTGGTAGGGTTAGGGTTAGAATAAGTTGACATGTACTTGCAAAGTTACTTATAGTCAGTAGAATGTCTGTTGGCAGACCATCACAATAAAGAGTTAGCAGATATTAAGCATTAAGTCAACTAATACTCTAATGTGAGTTAGTAGACTTGTAGGTGCAGCGTTATTTATTGTCAACAGAATGTTCAAAAGGGACTATCAAAATAAAGTGTTACCCATTTTATCAGTGAACAAAAACTTTGCTAATATCACCAATCAGCTCTTGAAGTACGTGTTGATAAAAAGATACATTCTTTGAGCACACCCTAAACGACAAATTATCTGGATGGAATTTTGCATACATTACAAAATTCTAGCGGAGAAACAACTGAGGGGATGAGAGGTTAACATTTCCAATAATAAAAAAATGACCCCCCCAATAAGGGCCAGCCTAGTATATATACATATACACACATACACTTATATGAGTATAACTGAAATAATAATTATCCTTAGCTGATGCGGGGCCCGGTGCGAAGTAGGGAGTGGGGCCCCCCTCGGTCCGTTCGCCGCGGGGCCCAGTGCGACCGCACCAGTTGCACCCCCCTAAAGACGGCCCTGGCCTATCAGTTACATTCAGAAAGTCTTCCAGTTTTGTGGACGTTCACACAAAGACCAGCCATTGGTGGCTATACTGCATTTGACCACTGATTTTCTTTTCTGATTATTTCTTATTTAAATGTAATGCAGGCATTCCCAAACTTTGTCATCTGAACATCTTTCACCTAATATATTTACTTGAAGCACCCCTGAAATCTTAACTATCACATTTGCATGTTCACATTGTTGGTTATGGTCACATGACATGCAGGTAAACAAATAAAATATTTGTTTAGTATATGTTTTATTTTGATTGATTTTAAAATGTTTTATTTTAATTTAACATTTTTATAATTTAATTAATTATTAGCTTTTCATTAAACTCTCAAACCCCCTGCAGTTCCTTTACAAACCCCAGTCTGGGAAACCTTGACGTAATATAGTGTTGTTAATTACAGCAAATGGTAAATTTATATTTATATATATATATATATATATATCTATATATATATATATATAATTTTTCTTTTTTTTATATATCAATATGGTACAAGATAATCTTATTTAAATTGATGTGATAAAACAAGTTAGGTCAAAAGTGATCCAAAAGTAATCAGAAAGTCTCATTATATTACCTAAATTGTGTAATGTAATGGATTACGTTAACAACTACAATTTTTGTCATGTAATTTGGAATCAGTAATTAAATACAATTTATAAGTAATCTACTTAGCTCTGTGCATCTCCATCTGTGACTGAAATGATGATTAAGGAAACTTTACAGCTGAAGTAATTGACATTTTGTACAAAAAAGAAAAGAAAAAGAATTTAGGCGCTTTAAAAATATTTACCGTAAGATGCACATTTTTTGCTTTAATCCCTCAGGACCATTTACTTCTATTATCAGTGCTTTACTATTACATTTATTTAAGACGCATTGAAATTAGCCTATTCGAGGAAACAACATTATGCCCCAAATGCTCCATGACACTTCAATTTGAAGTGTGTTTGTTGAAGGTTTATGTACATTTTCAAACCTCCATCTCTCTCCATCTTCATTTCTCCCTTTCCCACAGCAACATAAACGGCAAATATGCTACAATCACGTAATGCACTCTCCTGCCAGCACTTTACATATGAGCTTGAAATGTTTCCATTGAGGGAATGTTTATTTTTATTGGTGTTCTTTATGGGAAAGGCCGGTGATGATTTTCAAATGCACTCATGTGATTTGTGGCCAGTGGTTTAGATTACAGCATGTGTGTGTGTCCGTGTGTGTGTAGAAGGATTTCTAGTGATGGAGAGCAGCTTTTTGTGAGCACCTCTTGCCCTGGCCTGCAGGTACGGGAACGACAGACACCTGGTATGTCAGCATGGAGCGGTCAGAGAATGACAGCGTCCAAACCGAAGGCTACATTTCCCTTTCCTGCATGCTAATTGAGAGAGCTGTGTCCCTCCATATCAACACATTTTAAAAGCTTCTTTGGAAAGTAGCTACAGTATCCGGAATGAACATTTGCATGCCATTTTTCAGAGTAAACTGCAGGTCTCTTGTGATCTGTATATGAGGGCATTAAACATGAATCAAGACCCGAGAGTTACAGCCTAATAAAAAGTCCATAAAGATTAGGTGCATTAGCACAGTAATATTCATCACAAACTTCTCATTCTCACTCAAGCAGGGAAAACTATCCCGTGGTTCTGCGGCACTCACATGTGGGTGCCGTTGAAAATGTTTACGCAGGATTTTTTCCCATCCCGACCACAAAAGAGGGCTCTCTTTGAGACCCTTAAACAAGGCTATCTAGCTGTGCTGCTAAATTAACCGCCTCTGTGTCGTTACTCATCGGCCTTGTATTAAAAGGACTAGAGGTGTCCAATTCAGTTTTATGCAGGGTTTTTTTTAGAAGTTGTGTGTATTTCAATTTTTAATGAGCTGAGAGCCTGGAAGGAAAAAATGAATTAACACAATGAAGAACAAGTGCCCTTCAGAGTTATATGTGTCTCTCTGTGTGTTTGTGAGTAATAGAGAAATGAAAAGAAAATGCACCCACACTGTTGTATTTTACCTGGCAGTGAAAGTGTTTTAGCCTGATGCAGGATCCGTGCTAGAACATTGTTATCAGTTTGTCAGGCTGCATATCAGAGGTGTAACAAACTAAAAGTAGCAGCTGCACTGACTTAGCTGCATTTTTCAGTAGCGTGACAGTAGCTCAGTTGTTTTAAAAATGAAGTAGGTTTTCCAGTAACAAGCACCGGGATGTGTAACTTGAGGGGTTATTTGGAATTTTTCCCCCCCCAACTAAATGTAACAGCTAAAACGAGTGGTTGTATTCTGTCATTGTTGTCTGAAAGAATGAGTGATTCATGGATTTGTGAGATACGATCACATTTCATATCTCACACAGCTATGACTTTAATATGAATCATTGTCTCAGTTCTGCTATATACAGTCTGTACACTACTTTAAGTTTATATTCTCATTTTTAGTCCTACTGACCTTATTTTATTTAACTAATACTTATTTTTTCATTATTTCGGTCACACTTTGCACAGGTTTCATTTGTGAACATTAGTTAACTACATTAGTTAACATGAAGTAACAATGCTTCTATTATTGATCTTAGTATATGTTAATGTCAATAATCGCTAATACGTTTCAAGATGAAAAGTTGTATCTTTTAACATTAATTACAGTAATGCAATGTCTAACAAACATCAACATTAACATGAACTATCAGTGATCATTACATTTTTACATCATTTATTAACCTCTGATGATGTTAGTTAATGCATTATCTAATGTTAACAAATGAGACCCTATTGTAAAGTGCTACCATTATTTCTCATGTTTATATTATCTTACCATTTTATCTACTATTTTATATATTTAATGTACAGTCTAAGGAGCTGATAACTGGGCTTACATTACACTGCAAGTTTTATTCTGCATATTACTTTGAGTGACAAATTAAAATCTTAAATCAATACAGTATGACTTTGAAATTGTGACATGTTTTTGGCAACTATGGCTTGATATCTCTTAATTGCAGTTTTCTCCTGATTCTTTCCTCTATAATGAAGCATTGGGGCATCAGATTGTTTGAATCAGTTTCTTTGTTAGTCATATACATATCTTCTCAATCTCAAGTGAAATTGAGATCTTATTTTGTACTAGATAAACACTGCTCTGTTTGCAAAAACAATGTAATTAAAATGTATTTTTAATTGTGTATGTGTGTGTGTGTGTGTGTGTGTGTGTTTATATATATGTATACAGTGGTGTGAAAAAGTTTTTGCCCCCTTCCTGTTTTTTTAATTGTTTGCATATTTGTCACACTTAAAAGATTCAGATCTTTCTTATTGTTGAATCATGAACACTTTGATCTTTGTGTAATATTAAAATTGGTTTGATGATCTGAATCTTTTAAGTGTGACAAATATGCAAAAAATTTAAAAAAAACAGGAAGGGGGCAAAAACCTTTTCACGGCACTGTATATATACACATTGCCTCCTTGAACGCTGCCTTCTGTTTGTTAGTAGCTTAGTTACAGTGGCTACTTTTTAAAATGAACAGCTTGACTGTAGTTGAACTAGTTTAAATGCTGAGTAGCTTGTATCTGGGAATCTACGGTTTCAAAGTAGCTGCTGCATATTAATGCTGTCATGTGGGTTCAATCTATATTGAGGGTTCATGGTAAGTTTGACTGGGCAGAATCAATGCACAGGCACATAAAAGCGAATGAAGAGCGCTGGGCTAAAATCTGCTGAGCACATAAAGCCTTCATTAAAATGAGCTGTTACCACACTTAATTAAATGTGGCGTTTGGTAATTTGGGAACATGATGGGTGCCATGAACCTAGCTCTTGTTTAATGACAGTCCGGTGGTTCATGCCTCCTGACTAACCCCAGTCCTATGGTATCTCTCTCTTTGAATGGCATGCTGGGAAAGACCAGGCTGAAACGGAGGAAAAGGGAAAAAAAGTTGCCGGAATTGCAGTTGTATTGATTTTGTCTGCACTATAATAATGTCTTCCTGGGGGCATTAAATCACTCTGATTGTTAGACTGTATATTTTATGAAGGGCACAAAGCCCCATCAGACCATGGGAAGGAGCGTGTGCATGTCTGAGTAGTTCAAGATATCCGCTATTTCCCCAGGTTGTCCTGAGCACATATAGGAGTCTCCTGTTGTAGATCTTTGAATATGAAGGGGAAGTTTCACTGTAAAGTACTAATCCAGAAGGTGATGCCAAAGTGGTTTTCGGTTAAACCTCTTCAAGATTAGCCCACCTTAGCCAAAATATTCAAAGTAGTTGGAAAAAGTGGCTTATATTATTCAGAGCACTATCTGCACTCGAAGGCTCGCGAGCACAAATGTTTTTAACGTATAAATCCGACGAGATTTGTAAACAAAATCAATATGCATCATGCGAGTTGGAGAGTACGTGAGCGAGAGATGAGTAAACACTGTGCTCAACTTCCAGAAAATACCAAAGTGCAAAGTTTAATGAAGTAGAAGATCGTTTTTAAATGTGCTGAACAGTTATTTGAATTTCTTGTTGCTTTGCAGATAATTGTGTTTATGTGTGGATGGGAGAGGAAACGCTAATGCATGTACTGTATGGCTAAATCTAAACGCAAATTATTGAATTTTAATGCTCATAGTGAGACAAATATAGAAGTGAATTATTTGACGACACATCCCACTTGCTTTGTTTCTCTTTGCCTTTCATAATCAGTTAGTGAACTTGTGTTCCCTGACATTCATGTGGCATTTGTTTTTCACAATGTGATCTTCAGAAGTTTATTGGGGATTTTTAATGTTTGATTTTGTTCAATTTCACAACGTCACAGTAGCCATTCTTGTCAAGTGAACCATTTTTAGGAAGTTGTAAGCAATTAAATTCTCTGTTCAGGGCATCTATTAACAAATGGCCATTCGTTTTATCCCATTCCTTTAAACTTTCCACTCTCATTGACAGAAATTGACTGCTGGGCCAGTAGCTTCTCAAACTCAAGCAATCATTCATTCCTTTGCCAGTCAACCTCTGACAGCAGTAAATAACTTAAGATAAGGCAAGAACGTGCCTGACCAATATCAGTGCTTCTCCCAGAGAAAACGGGTCTTTGCAGTTCTGGGAGGTCTGAATAAATCAGTCATTTTTTATGTGTTTTGATGTGGAAGTGTACAATAAATCATGCTCCCTACAGAGATAACAATTATCATTATAAAACATTGTCACTTACCATAAAATATGCAAAGGCCAGGGCGTGTAACAAAGAATTGTGATGGAGTGAAACACATGACCACCACCTTTTTGAGATGACAGCAGTTGTAAGTCTTGTTGTCAGAATGTAGAATTTAGAGATGCACCAATATTAATCTTCTATTCTAATTTGTCTAAATAAATTCTAACACTAAAAAATAAAATCTGTTATTTTACATTAGTGGATGTAGGCATCAATGCATTATAGTGTACAGTATGAAGATTTAATAAAGATTACACTTGAACAGTGTTATTAAATGATTCGTTTTTAAGGTTAACCTTAAGTCAGCGCTGGATGAGAGCAAAGTTACTTCACAGTAAATGTGAAAATAAAGACATGAACATGAACAATTAAGTACCCAATATTGATATATTTGAAAATTAAATGTTTTGTAGTACTCCTCATTTTAATTTACGTTCATGCATTTGGCAGACACTTTGATCCAAAGCAGCTCAGGGTGCACATTTTTATCAGTATATGCATTTCCTGGGAATCGAACCCATAATCTTGGCATTGCTATCAGCGCTAGCTGTTTGAGATTAGATGTTAAGTGTTTGCTAACATCACCCAATTTCAATATATTGTGCGTTCCTAATAGAAGCTTAATTATTTTGAACAGTGAATTTGATTAAATTTTTTCACAAATAGTAAACACATGTTTATGTTATCAATTAGTGTCACAGTTGGGGAGGTGGTAATAGCAGCGCTCTTTATACTTGACTTTAATTTATACATTTTAGAAAGAAGATTTCAAAGCAACTTTTGTAGCTGAAAAATATTTGAATATTATATCAAGTTTGAGATATACCATGCAAAAATCAAACATAAAAACTAAATTTATGAATGACTCCCTGCTGCATGTAATACTAGTTGGTACCAGCTTGTACAGTTTCCTTTATAACAATCTCCTCTCCATTCGTATTCTTGAACTGCTTTGCATATTACACCAGTTAACAGGCTAAAAGTGGACATCTTCAGGCAATATACTAAAGATCCATTAGTAGGCACTAGGCAGTACAGTAAATGTCAACTGAATTTGTGTGATACTACGATGCATTGCTTGTGTTACATCATGTTTTTCACTCTGCAGATCTATGCATTACTACAGTATGGATTATGGATTCATATACATGGCACAAAATAGATGGGAACGTGAAGAATATCGATAATACTTATTGGTTTTCTGAGACTGATTGGTTCCCATGGTGGAAGACTGATTTTCCCTTGGAGCCTCCAGTCCTTCTGGTATTTTTTTTTCTTTTTTCTACAGACTGATATGACTGGGGCTGTAGGCCCACCCTAGGCTTTTTGGTAATTAATACTGTGAAACAAGAAAATACTCTGACTCTCTTTATGGTGAGAAATCACGTGTCTAGTCACCTGCTGTGATATTAGATAATTATGTACTGAAGCTTTGATACTAAAAAAATTATTGTGTGAAGGTTTGTGTTAAGTATTTAATATTTTGTCTTATTTTTATTCATTTTAAATTACTTATAGCAATTTTGCATACTGGCATTTTACTGGCCAGTATGACAGGAAGTACATTTGCTGTTCTAGTTCAAATATTCTTTGAATTTATTTTAATTCCACTTTGTTATATTCAAATTTCAGTTGAAATTCTTCATCTTGTTTGATACCTCAACTCAAAATAAGGAATCTAACTGGAATGTAGAAAACATTCTCAAGTTCTCTTTTGAATGGCACACCACCCTGGAGTGAACATAGTTTTAAACATATTTGGAAATAGACTATTCATTAATGTATATTGCCATTAAAAAATATGGGGTCATTAAAATTTGATGAATGTTTTTGAAATATGTCTCTTATGCTCACCCAGGTCACATGTATTTGATCCAAAATACAGCACAATTGCATTTATATGTTATACTGTGAAAATATTATTACAATTTAAAATAAAGTTTTTTTATTATTTAAATATATTTTAAAATGTAATTTATTTCTATATTTCTATGGTGGCATAACAGGCATCACTGTTACATGATCCTTCAGAAATTATTCTAATATGCTGATGTGGTGATTCTTTTTTCAGGATTCCTTTATATTCTTATAGAAAACAGAAATCTCCTGTGACTGTCACGGAAACCCCTGCCTCACCAGCCGAATCAGCCTCCTACACCCGCTCACAATCACCTGATTACTGATCACGGACACCTGCACCCACTTACCACACCACTCAAATACTCACTCACCTCATTCACACATCGACTGGTCTCAAGGTTGCAAGCTTCTCTGTCCTGGTTCCTCGCCTTCCGATCTGCCTGTTCCCCTCGGATTCCTCAATTCTCGGCCGGAGGACTGTAGTGCCGACCCAGATAAGACTTTGTTTTGCTTCCATTACTCCCTCTGTTGAACTCTTTTCTGTTGGAAGCCTCTCCTAAGTTCCTTTTATTAAACTCGCTAACTTACGTTTACCTGCCTGTCTGCCTCTTTGTCCCGGTTGTGACAGTGACATAATAACTGTCTTTTTGATCATTTTCTTGCCTTTTTCTTTACTTGCTGAATCTTTCTGACCCCAAACCTTTGAACGTTAGTGTAGACGTACAAATTTAGCGCCTTAAATTTTGTTGAAGAAAATGATGATCGATTTAACAAACCTTCCACAGCTGAATAAAGAGACAGTGAGAGAAGAGTTGCAGGCTGAACAGTGTTTGATCTATATAGTGTTTGATATATTCTGAGGTCAGGGTCTAACAGTGAGCTCCGGTGGCCAAACTCTGCCAGCACTTTAATCTCTCCTCACACACTGAGTGCTCGACCCTCCCTGCTCCTAATTGGTGTTTTGCTCTTTGCCTCGGGCCAACAAATTGACTAACTGACCTGCAAAAAATTGTGGCCACTGGTCTCCAGTTTTTCCAAAAGCAGAACATTTTGGGAGCCAGACATCACGTTTATATGTGCAGACAGGAGAACCCTTGGCCTATTTTCATTTTTCACCCCCGTCAACTCTAATAGTACTCTTGGCCAGCCTTGACGGATGAACATAAGGTTTGCCGGGTATTTATTTAGTGCTTGTTTGTGATTGCCTTCAGATATTTAGTTTAGAGGACACTCTCTGCAATATCTTTTTAAAACGGGATGTCAAAACTTGCATCCAGATGAAAGAAAGCAATTTTATGATCTCACTCCAAATATGAAGTACATTTGCCTTACAGCCACTTTCATCTCCATCTCAATGTCATGGAAGAGCTGTTTGTCCAGCAATAGCCACGTGGCTCAGTGTTTGCTGAGATTTGCTTTTTTTCTGTCTCCCTGCAATGACTTGACATTGATACATTGGTGCTTGCCAGAGGCAGAACCTACCAGACAAATATGCAGGAATGTGTGAATGTTGACCGACGAATATTAAATTGGTCTTGTCTTTTAGCGTGTGTAACACTTAAGTAAACAAACATGTACGTCAGATCACTGTAATAGAAATGATAAGAACTGTAATTAAACAGTATGTTACCATATTTGGAAACTCTGATCCCTATGTGTGTGTGTGTGCTTGTATGATACTGTATATGCTCACCAAGACTGCATTTATTCAATCTAAAATACAGTAAAAACAGTAATATTGTGAAATATTCTATATATTTAATTTCTATATATTTATTTCTATTTTAATATATTTTAAAAGGCAGCAGATTTTTGCACTAAGTGTAAATAGCGATAGATGCTATTTACTCTAAGTGCTTAGCGATAGATGCTATTTACACTAAGTGCAAATAGCAATGGATTCAATTTACACAAAGTGAAAATAGCAGTATTTTCTTAGTGATATGCTATTTTACACTACGTGCAAATAGCCATAGCTTCTATTTACACTATGTAAAAATATCAGTATTTATTGTAGTACATTATAAAACAGTATGCAATAATAACGTATTGAGTGTGAATTATAAGTTTTATTAAAATTATTAAATGAATACTGACTTACTGGGAACAATAAAGCCCTCCCTACAGTTAACCCTACCCGATACTTCATTTTCAAACTTTCAATTGTTTTCCTTCCTTTTTATTGAAAATAAATGCTTTTCCGATGTGATATGAGATGTGAAAAGGAAAAAGAACAAGTTTGGCAAAAGGCGGATTCGAACTTGGGTTGATTGCGTCAAAAAGCCTGGGCTGCACATTTTACCACTTACACCACTGGAGTTGTCAAATACAGCTGTCTTTTGTATTGTTGACTACCCCAATCACACGTTGGTGGGTGGAGTTAGTGTAAATAGCCTCTGTCAACAAGTCGGGTTATTTGCACTTAGTGTAAATAGACACTCCGATTTATTCCTGTCAAAACTGAATTCTCAGCCATTACTCCAGTCTTATTTTTGTGGAAACTGTGATTCTTTTTTTCAGGATTCTTTGATGAATAGAAAGATCAATGAACAGCATTTATTTGAAATAGGAATCTTTGGTAACATTATAAATGTCTTCACAGTTACTTTTGATCAATTTGATGTGTCCTTGATAAATAAAAGTTTTAATTTCTTTTTCTTTTTTAAAGATATCTTATTTACCCCAAAGTTTTTAATGGTAGAGTGTCACGGTTTCCACAAAAACATTAAGCAGAAAAAAACTAATGATCAAATATATATTAATATATTCACCTCATTCATAGGGCTGTACTGTGCAGACAAGAAAGTGGCAGTAACTAACTAACTTCAAAAGTTTGGGATCAGTAAGATTTTTTTAACATAAAAAAAAAATATATATATATAAATTATACAGGCCTATTAATATTATTTTTTATTTTAATTAATATTAATATTTTTTATCAAATGAATGCAACCTTGATAAGCATAAGAGACGACTTTCAAAAACATTAAAAATCTTACTAATTCCAAATTTTTAATATTTACCTTTATTCATAGGGCAGTACTGAGCAGACAGGCAAGTGACAATAAGTCCAGGTTCTCTACCAATTACTTAGAATCAGAATCAGAATCAGAATCAGAATTAGCTTTATTCGCCAGGTGTGTGCAAACACACCAGGAATTTGTTGCGTTTTTTTTTAAAGGTGCTCCTGGTACATACATACATGCATACATACATACATATCTGACATGAGAAAAAACAAAACAAAAACAAACATTTAAATAGTAAAAATTACAAGTCCTGAAGACTGGGCAGGTGCACACCAATGATTCTTTCTGCTGTCCTAACAGTTCGTTGCAGTCTTCTTGTATCTGATTTGCTGGCTGACCCAAACCAGACAGTTATAGAAGAGCACAGAACCGACTCAATAATAGCGGAGTAAAACTGTGTTATCTGTGCCTTACTTACTGTGGTTTCGCAAATTTTTGTTCTCAATCAAGAAATAATCCTATTAATTTGAGTATTCTTAGAAAATAAAATTGTGTTAAGAACATAGGGTTACAAAGCTAATAATTGAATCTGTTCCCCTCACACTCTTTATGCCATTCACAATGCTTTATAGGGGAATGTGAACAGTTTGGGCTTAGAAAAGGGGTCCAAAACAGTTCAGATACCCTGTGCCTGACACTGTACAGGAAAATTACTAGTGAAACTCTAAACAAGAAAGAATCCATGCAATATGTGTTTTTTTATTTCCACAAAGCACTCTTCGTAATGCAGGATCAAATGAACTGGCATCTGTAAACACAAACACATGTCAGATCACTGGTATCCAATGACTACCAAGAGAAAAAAGAACGGGAAAGAATGAGTGCTTGTTTCCTCCACAAATAACATCAAATGTAAGACAAAGACAGTAATCTCCCTATATGCAGAGAGCAACCCAAAGTGCTCTTATACGGCTAAAAATACAAATGCGCAAATCTTATCCTAAACAGATCCTCTAACCCCACAGACTGTGTATCTTCCACTTTGCATTTCCAAAAGCCATGAAAGCTGCCTATTCTGGTCTTGAAACAGGGATATATTTGAAATGTAGTCCTGCTGGCGAGACCGAAAGTGCAGCTGCACAAACAGTGCATTATTTCTCATTCCCTCTTTTCTGTCTGGTTACTCACCGGCTCCCACTGGACACCGATAGTGCTTAGTCACACCCTCGTGTAGCTACGCTAATTAGCCTCACCATAGCAACTGCATCTTAGTGATAACAAACCTCTTATTGAGGACTCCCACAAATTTACAGTTCTCGTGTTTCTTTTTTAGCTCCATTCTTTCATCCCGACATTGTAGGAGTCGATATCCGCTGTTCATGAAAACCCAGAATCCCTCTGGGTGATGTGGGAGAAAATTGCTTTGTGTTGTCCTATCCTGTTGCTTAACGAAGAGTGTGCTTGTATAACGTGAGGACTCTTGGAACAGTTAAAAAAAAAAGTTATTTTATGCGTGCATGTTTACAAATTAACCAACGTAATACATAGGCTACAGTGTTTTTGTTTAATTCTCAATTTAGGTATTCAGGAACATACAGCTCTATAATCCTTCCTCTGATTACGCGTAATTCCCAACTCAACTATTTAGGCTTATTTCTTCCCGAAATGTGTTGCATTAAAATTCTAGCAAAATCGCTGAAGTGCACAATGCAAAAGAGGCTTGAATGAAGTTATTACTTTGTCCACATCGTGAGTAGTTTGTCTCATGGCTGTACCCTTGACTGCTCTGCATCAAACAATCCTGACACACAAAACTCAATGCTGCTCCAAATTTATTGCAGCCTAAGGGATCATTTAGGCAGTACACATGGAGAGTTTTTAAACCATTTTAAAAAATGATGTCACTTTTACTTTGTTCACTAGAGACAACACTAAAGTGGCTCTTAAACTGTCAAACATCCCATGATGCTCTGTTTTTCACAATGATAAGTAACTGTGCTTTGAGTGTTACAAATGTTTATGAAGAAAAAGGCTTTTTTTTTTCTGTGGAGCTGAAAATCTGAAACAAATATTGTATCCTAATGCCATTAACATTCAGAACTGTGAATTTAAACAATTGAAATGTGAAGAATGCTTATAAATGAGCTTATTTTGGCTTCTGAATGGAATACTACTTTACAGCTTACTGAACACTGCATAGTATATTCCAGTCACACTTTAATTTAAGGTCCATTAACTACGAGCTTTGCCTCAATAAAATCCTAATTTGCTGCTTATTAATAGTTAGTAAAGTAGTTGTTAAATTAATGTATTGGGTAGGATTAGGGATGTAGAATATGGACAAACAGAATATGTGCTTTAAGTACTACTAATAAACTGCCAGTATGTTAATAATAGGCATGCTAATAAGAAACTAGTTAATACTGAGAATTGGTCCCTATACTAAAGTGTTACCACATTTTTAATAGAAAAATTCAGTATGCTTCATTATACTGGGCATTTTGTCAAATGTACAGTACTGTAGTAGGTCTTTATGAAAGCCCATTTCTGCCTTCTTCAATTTATTCTAATTATTCTGACCGTTTTCTTGCAATTCTGAGTTTATATCTATTGTTATTATTGTTATTTTCTTAGAATTATGGGTTTACAATTCAGTTTTTTTTTCTTACCATGCAAAATCAAAAAATCAAAAATAATTGCGACCTTTTCTAATTCTCATAATTAGGGCCTGAGCACCAATGGTGCGAGAAATGCTCTGTTTATTATTCTGACTTTTTTTCCCCCTTGCAATTGCAAGTCACAGTGTATCTCACAATTCTGAGTTTATATTTAGAATTCAGAACTTCGAGGAAAACTCTGAATTGCGAGATATAAACTAAAATGTCAAAACTGTGAGATAAAAAGTTGCAGTTATGTGGAGGGAATAAGCTTTCATGGCATACAGAAAATTCTTTTAATTTATTAAAAAAAAATTATTTTGTACCTTTTTCTTTTATTTTCCCTTTCATTTCTCAGTTTATTTTTGCATTGTCTGTTTTAATACCTTAGGCTTGGGCAATATTGTAAATGCTAACAAAGCATTTTGCCTCTGACTCCACAGCAGAAATAAGAGTAGCATGTTAGTATGCTACTCCGAACATAGCGTTTGTTGCTGGTTATTATGCTGGAAAGACCAGGGGTGTCAGGATTTGGCTGGTTATCATCAAGGAGGCCTATAATGCCCAGAGAAAACCATCCGTATTCCCATTCAACTGCCACAGCCTGTAATATTATACCTATAATAATGAAATATGTGCAATTATATATGTTGCTTGTAATAATAATATAATAATAATTATATTATTTTGCAATAATACAGGGCTACTTTCGAAGAAACAGGCTTTTTTTTTTTTTCGTTTGCTGAATGGTGCTGTTACAGCATCTACCAGCAGGGCTTGATTGCTTATGCTAGCCAGCCAAAACTTGACCTTCTTAGTAGTTGCCAATCCTGTCTCATACACCAATGAGAGAGATTTTCTAATTATTGCAATCAGTGACTGGCAGCTGCATTGGTGTGGAGGCAAAGCTTTAAAACGCCACTTGGTGATTCAGATTAAGGAGTGGGAATGCACATGAAGGCTGGTGGATTAAATAGCTGGTGTTCTGATTGTTGCATTTCCCTCATCCTTGATTTTTCTTTATTTGTCATATTTTATAATTGCTATTCTTCCTGTTTGCTCGCATACTGCTGCTGCACATGATGTGTTTGTTTTGAACTTTATGTAGCTCTGTAGTAGTGGGTGTTGTGCTACTGTGACAGCTTAAAGACAAGGCTTGACTTATTTTAATGAGCATTTATTTTCTCACTTGTTTATGTTCTTTTGTTGTGAACCACCACAGCGCCTGTGCAGGTCATAATAAATTGCCATTTGATGGTAAAACATGTTGAACTTTAGTAACACAAAGACTTCAGATTGGTTCTTGCCCTTTAAACTTAGAAAAATGTGTTTTTATGCCTAGAAGTTTAAGTATTGGCTATTACCAAGTGTTCCTGCGACAAAAACAAGCTTATTTTCAGGAAAGATTTATATTTTCCAATCTCAGACATTAGCCACATCATATCAGACCAATGTACCTTCATATAGGACACGCTGCTTTTATCGAATTCTTATTTAATGTCTCGGACAGGTCCATGTGTTACTTCCTGTAGTCATTTCCTGAGGATTTGCAGTGGCTCTTTGTCATATTTTACATAGACACCAATTTGGAGAGTTGATTATGAGGGATGTGTTAAGACAAGCTTTTATTCCTGCTCTGAGGTTATTAAATTGAACAAACACTGTAGTCTGATTATTCGACCGTAACCCCCAGAAGCCAAAATCACATCAGTTGGGCATTACATATTCTTCATCTATTGTTGTCTAAATTTAATAGATTGGAAAAGCTGTCGCAATCTGTGGATCCATTAGCGCCGTAATCAAAATTTCAGAGCCATAAAACGCAGTTTAAGGATGTGTGAATGACAGCTAACACACTATTCGTACTATTGTAGATGTTTAAAACGCCTATGTTTTTCCTGTCACCAGCTTAAAATGAATGGTTCTGTTTTTGTCCAACCAGGTGTGAAATTACTGTTGTATTTGGCAGTGGTGTATGTGGGTTAATTTACTCTCTGTAGCTTTCAGACTCCCATAGGTCCTCTCTTACATGTGTTCAGCTGTGGAATAGGCTGACGGTTGTAGAGTTGCAACTTTAATAGCCTTATTGAAAGCGAGGGATGTTGTCTGCGGCAGGCCGAGGGTGCATCGTTGCGAAGGGAACGGAAAGCTTTTGGTGATGAATGCGTTCATTGGGTTCCCGCGTTACAGCACGGACATGCTGGCTCTGACATGAAAAGGCTAAAAATGCCATATCGAACCATTTCTTACAGAGCGCGAGTAATCTTTTCCTTAAAGCGAGCTAGTCATTTAACATCCCGCTACAGTGCACCTCTTCTGGGAAGTAATCTCTTTTGGCTGCTCTCTACGCACCCGAGACAATTTCAAGTGTTTGTTGCGAAGCCTTCGGTGCTGGCTTTGTGATGAGCCGTTGAGTTCTGGATCCCTTTTCATCTATAAATCATTTAGTCATCTGCGGGTTGCAGACTTTTGCAAACAGCAGGCTAGCATGCAAGGGAAGCAATCAGCACAAACAGGCATGTTGCCATGGCTGTCTGTGATAATTGTTTTATGAAATGTGATGCTCCCCTTCTTTATGACAGTCTCCTAAATGCCATCAGAAGAACAAGAAGTGGAGGCTGCCCAGGTACCTGGAGCTCTACCAAACACTTTGACCACCCTCTGCAGTCATAAAGAGAGGGAGATAGGGATGCTAAGCTCTTTCTCAATGGATTAATATTTAGCTGGTTTCTTTCTTTCTTTCTTTCTTTCTTTCTTTCTAAAGCACTTTCACACAACTACCGGTTGATCCAAAGTGCTGTACAACACAGCTAAAATAAAACAAATTAGAAACCACAAACAGCAAAACACAATATAACAATACAGTTGACATGGCTAGATAACAGCTACTTACAAAAGATGCTGCTGCACATGATGTGTTTTTTAGCATGGATCCTGGTCATCAGGAACCAACATACCTTCCTCTATTGACAGTCATTAAAATGTATTTATTTATTTATTTTTGTATTAATATTGTGACTACAAAATTTTCTACAAGCATTTTCTGTTTTTTTATTTAATTAAATAATAATAATAATAATTCTGCAAAACTCCCACATTTTCTACAAGCATTTTTTAAAAATGTTTTATTTTATTTTATTCTGCAAGGGCACACTAAATTGACCAAAAGTTTATTTTTGTATTAATATTGTGACTACAAAATTTTCTACAAGCATTTTCTGTTTTTTTATTTAATTAAATAATAATAATAATAATTCTGCAAAACTCCCACATTTTCTACAAGCATTTTTTAAAATGTTTTATTTTATTTTATTCTGCAAGGGTACACTAAATTGATCAAAAGCGACAGTAAATCAATTTACTATAATGTTACATAAGATTATTATGTCAAATAAATGCTGTTTTTAAATTTTTCTTCAAAATTCCTAAAGAAATATCTGAGTTTCCACAAAAATATTAAGCAGCACAACAGTTTTCAACATTGATGATAATAAGAAATGTTTCTTGAGCAGCAAATCATCATATTAAAATGATTTCTGAATGTGACATTTCTGAATGTTTGTTATATGACACTAAAACTGGAGTAATGGATGCTGAAAATTCAACTTTGCCATCACTGATATAAAAATACCTTTTAAAATAAAATATAAAATATTTTCAATTTTAATAATTTTCCAAACATTATTGTTTTTACTGATCAAATATCAGTCTTGGTTAGACTCTTGAATGGTACATTTCAGTAAATTTCTTAATAGTGCCTGGTTTAAAAAGAAAAAGAAAAAAAAAATATATTTTTCATATATTATTTTAAATTTCTCTAGTCATATCAGTTTTAAATGAGCTTTTGTTAGTTTTCACACTTTCAATTTAGCTTTTTAGTTAGGGCTGTTAAAGACTTGTATCTTTAAATGTTGATCAGGATTCCTTTCTCAGCACAGTTTAGTGTTCTTGCTAGTGACACTTTCGTGTTTAAAGCAAATGAGCCGTGATGGTTTTATAATATACCATATATCAAAAACCACAACTAAAATTAATTTGTGGCCATGGATATGAATGCTAACAGATAGCTTTTTCCACATATTATAGACCCACTTGGTCTTTCCAGTTAAACCTTCACACAAACACATGCAGGGGCACGTCCTGCGCAGTGCAGTTACGCAATAAATCAAAATCTGTAGCAGGTTCAAAACCACATCCACGCATATCCTCAAATACTAGAGCGGATAAAGGAGGTCCTGTTTCAGATCAGTAGCGTGGTATTTGTTTTCGTCCTGAATACTGCCTTTGTGGTGCTTCTATTATGAATGCTTGACTGCACAAAATACTCAGCATACTGTAAATGCCTCCAATATCAGTCTGTGTGGATTGTGTATTGAGATTTCCATTCGGCTGCGTGTTCCTACAGGCGGTATCCCCGGGGAGAGCAAGTCGATTGCAGGGGGTCCCCGGGGCAAAAGCTTCAAGCCTCCAGCGCAAGAACAGATTAAGTCCAAGATGGAATTTCTGATTTGTTTACTCTGTCTTTTTTTTTTTTTCTGTTTCGCAAGTGCAAAAGTCCTTACTGCTGTTCCAGTCCTCAGCATTGCTCCAGGCCATTTAATGCTGCAAAGTGCATTTCAGAACTTTTTATTGGGCATCATTTTCGTTTGCGTTTCATTTTTAGCCGTGAAAGAGGTTGTTGGCAAGTGTTGCTGATAAACATTGAAGCGTCTGCTCTTTTAATACATAACTGAAAGTTCATTCATAGATTAAAAAACATGACAAGCTATTTGTATCTAACTAATATTTTAATCTGCAGAGTAAACCAACTAAAATTTTTGTAAACAACTCACAGGAGTATTTTTTCTGTTCCATACTTTAGTGAGCTGCCAACCTAGGCTGTGCTTTGAAGCATCATAAGCACAAAACACTAGGCAATAAACATTAATGACCTTATTTTGGCCAAATTCAAAGGTGCAACACATACTTAATTAAGAAGGCAGTCCCATAATGCACTGTAACAACCTGAATGAAAACGTTATGCAAGATGGCAAACCAGCATATGCTGGTTAGGTATGTTTTGAAGCTGGGATGCTGGTTTGAGTTGGTTCTTTGCTGGTTTATGCTGGTCCTTTGCTGGTATAAGCTGG